GATATTTTATATATACATTTTACCTGATGATAAATATTACTTGCTAAACTATAATTATATGAAATGATGTATAAATATTACACCATGACAACTCATAAAAGCACTTGATGTGGATCTAATTATTATAAGGATAACTTAGTATAAATGTTATCCCATGATAGATGGATCTCACCCCAGACCTTGGTACTGATGAAGGCATCAACTACCCTCGACACACTGGCAAGTTGGGTTTGGAAATCCAGTTTGGACAAGCTCTCGAGAACCCAGTCACCCTCATCTGCTATGAGGAATACGAAAATGTTCTGGAAATAGATCCTTTCCGGAATGCGATGATGGTATAAAAAGAGCGGCAACAGACAGTCATGCCACACTTTTTTCTCCTCCTACAAGGGACCATGGATGAATCATTCGGGTTGAGCACCTTGGATTTAGAAGCCATCGTGGCTGATGACGAACCACTTCATGCCATCTACCGAGGCACCCTGGCCAGTGATGACTTTGCCAGACTGGGATGGCAACAGGATGACCCCTTTTACCCCAAAGCCTACACGGTCAACACAGATTCAAGCGATCAACCTGGCACACACTGGGTGAGCATCTATCGTCAAGCTCCTGGATCCATGGAAATGATGGATAGCTATGGACTGTATTCATTACCCCTGTTTAAAGAGACTTTGAATCGCATGGGTCAGATTCAACAACGACGGAATACAACCCCCTTACAACATGGATACAGCACGTTGTGTTGGGTGTACTGTCTCTACATGCTGACCTATCGCGTGCGTGGGTGGATACGTCATAGATACGTTGGACTGGAAGGACACCGCCAAGAATGATGCCACGGTATTAGCATGGTTTCATACCAAAGTGTCTACGCATTCCCTACATCAAAAGAACCAACCTTTCTGCCCTTATTGACCTGACACTTGTTCACTGAACCTACGACCACCTGACTGTCAACGTTCCAGTTTGAGGAGTGTACATACGTTCACTGCATGGTAGGAATGTACATACGTTCACACCCAAGTGACAAAGTTCCTGTTCACTGCCTTTTAGGAGTGTGCAAATGTTCACGCCCTAGTGGCAAAAAAGAAAAAAATATTCATGTTCACAAAAATCACAGGGACGCCCCTAATCCTGTGGCTTTTGTTTTGTTGTGTTGGTTCATGTGAGCGGGGGATTAAAAAGTTGGAAAAAAACAATGTGTTGTGTTGTCTTTTTCTAGGATGGGAATCGCCACCACCACCACTTCTTTTTTTTAAAAAGAAAAAATGAACATAAAGGATTTTACATGCGCTACTTTAAATTTTGATATTTTCATATTTTACGAGCGCTTCTTCTGGAAGTGACGTCATCGTACGGCCAGAGTTATCTCCCCCAGGTCCTGTTTCCGATGCCCCTCAACTACTGTCGGGCATATGAAAACACGTTGCAATAATACTTGGTTTGGCACAAGTTTTGTGTTAATGTTGGTTTTCCGACTTTGGTATCCTGTGCACAGTTTATCCCGCGATATGCCAAGGAGAGGCACGGGCCACCGAGCCGTGGATGCCCGTGCCTATAATAAAAACAGAAGATGAGATTGGGTTAAATGGCCGAGGGTGTGCAGGTACTAGTGGGCTACTTAGCTGCTAATTGTGTATACCAAAATGCTACCGTTGCCATGGCCACGCGCGTGGCCAACGGCAATTGCAGCTAGCGCTGCTGGCCTGAGACTGCTACCGCTGTCCGGCCCCCACGGTAGCATATTTAACCGCTACCATTGCTTGGCAACTCCCATGCTGCCAAAAGCAGCTCCACGCTGCTGGCTTAAGTCAGACTACTGCTGCCCGGCCCCAGGTAGCCGGCCAAAGCAGATCCCACTGCCGGGCCCCATTAGCAAAACCATTGTGCGGCTCCCATGCCGCGGACCCAACTGTCAGCTACCGCTTGACAAGACAACGTATGTTATTTTACGATTCCCCAGCTGAAAAGTCGGGAAAGACAAGGTTCCCACTGAGAAGCAGGTAACCCCGGAAAGGTTCCCGCTGAAAAGCAGGTAGCCTTAAGCACGAGTATTAATTTGGAAGCAAGTTAATTTGTTACTAGCAGTGTAGCCCACAAGAACCCCGCACACCTCGACATAGTTTATTGTTGAGACAGGTATTGCATATATACATATATACAGCTATAAGGAAGTCATGTTTATTTTCATATATCAGAATCGTTTAAGAGTATGTACATATATACAAGCGCCCTGAAAACCTATTTTACATATGTACAGGTTTATTTACATATATACAATCCGCTCTGCTGGTACCTGTAATAGAATAAACGCTGAAGAAAAGAAGTGATTAGCATTCCTGGTGAAGAGGACACGTCAGGCTGAAAAGGAAAGAAAAAGGAGTGGCAAGCTGGGTGGGTGGGTGGGTGGGAAAGCGATTAGATACAGTGACACACGTGTGTACTTGGGGAAGGGCTGTTCGCGAATGATGGACTAACAAAGGGCGGGATGATGCTTGCGCGGGATTATTCCCCGGGCACGGTGCCGAGTGGTGGCCCGGGGTGATTGAGTTACGGGGGGTGATTGGGTTACAGACGTAATTAGCCCATGGTTTGGATACGCGCGATAAAGTCATTTAGTAGTTAGTACTAAATGTAATTATCCCGCGATATGCCAAGGAGAGGCACGGGCCACCGAGCCGTGGATGCCCGTGCCTATAATAAAAACAGAAGATGAGATTAGGTTAAATGGCCGAGGGTGTGCAGGTACTAGTGGGCTACTTAGCTGCTAATTGTGTATACCAAAATGCTACCGTTGCCATGGCCACGCACGTGGCCAACGGCGATTGCAGCTAGCGCTGCTGGCCTGAGACTGCTACCGCTGTCCGGCCCCCACGGTAGCATATTTAACCGCTACCATTGCTTGGCAACTCCCACGCTGCTGGCCTAAGTCAGACTACCGCTGCCCGGCCCCAGGTAGCCGGCCAAAGCAGATCCCACTGCCCGGCCCCATTAGCAAAACCATTGTGCGGCTCCCACGCCGCGGACCCAACTGTCAGCTACCGCTTGACAAGACGACTTCCGCCGCCGGGCCCATATACGTGGCAATTGTTTGCCCCAACGTATGTTATTTTACAATTCCCCGGCTGAAAAGTCGGGAAAGACAAGGTTCCCACTGAGAAGCAGGTAGCCTTAAGCACGAGTATTAATTTGGAAGCAAGTTAATTTGTTACTAGCAGTGTAGCCCACAAGAACCCCGCCACAAAGCACCAGAGTGCTACCCCACACCCTCGGCCACGCGATACGCGGAGATAGCATTGTTGCCCGGCTTGCCTATGTACTGAAAGGAAACACAAACCTGTGGAGATAACAAGCGCCAGGGCATGCAATAAATTGTCCGTAAACACACACAGTCCTTTGTCACTGAGGTGGACGCCCTCCCAGGCGTACCATGTCTTGTCTGATGCCAGGATCTGGGGATGTGGCACCATTGTACCGCCGAGCTCTTTGACTCGGTTGGCCAGTCGACTGTTGATTTTCTTCCGCATCCCCTCGATCTTTAGTGGGTCCCTGGCATCGTGCTAGTAGCGCCTGTGCAGCATTGAGGATACGATGATCTTGGTGTCAGGAAGCTGGGGTTGTATCCGAAGGATTGATGCCACCATGTCAAGGTAGCGTCAAGTCCCGTGTAGTTCCATCCGTCACCCACTGGGGTGGCCATGCGCCGTTAAACCATTTGCCCTGCATGTAGGCCCCAAAGCCGGCGCCACCCGCTGCGTCTGAAAACAGCTGGAGGAAATCGCTGTCCACCCATAGTTGGTCCTGAAACACTGAAATGCCTTTATAACTCGTAAGAAATGTTAACCACATTTGTAGGTCTTCCTTGACCCAGCTGGTAATCCTAATGTGGTGAAATGGTTGCTTACCTTTGCTAAGCAGATCGGTTAGCCTGCGGCTGAATGCCCTTGCCATTGGTATAGCCCTGCACATAAAGTTAAGCTTGCCTATGAGGGACTCAAGGGCCCTTTTTGTGACCTTGATGTTACCTGTTGACAGGATGTCTTGGATTTCCCTTGTTGCCTCCTTGATCTTGGACTCTGGAATTCTGATCTGCATTGCAATGGTGTCGATTTCTAGCCCTATGAATGTCAGTTTGGTTGTGGGGCCCACTGTCTTGTCGTGCGCAGTAGGAACCCCAAGCTGTTCTAGTGTATTCACGCATCCGTTGAGGTTGTCTGAGCAGTGGCTGGTGCCTGCTGTGCCCCCCGTTAGGAAGTCATCCAGGTAATGCATGATCGGACACGTTGGAAGATGCGATTGCATGCACCATTGCAAGAAGGTACTAAACGTTTCAAATATGGCGCAAGATATGGAGCAGCCAAATGGTAGGCATTTATCAAAATAGAACTCACCTTCGAATCTGATGCCTAGCAGCTCGAAATCGGATGGGTGGACTGGTATAATTCTAAAGGCCGACTGAATGTCGAATTTTGCTAGTAGTGCTCCCTTTCCCAGTTGTTGAACCATATGGGTAGCTTCATCAAATCTGGCGTACACAACGGAGCAGGCCTCTGTGTCTATGAAGTTATTTATAGATTTACCCCTGGGATAGGATAGATGGTGAATTTGACGGAATTCCTCCGCATGCTTACCCAGGTGCTGACCATATCCTGGCTGCTTCTTGGGCACCAGGCCTATTGGGGATACTTGGAGGTTGTCTAGGGGGGGTGTCCTTGAAGGGGCCCGCCATCCTGCCAAGGTCGACTTCCTTTTGTAGTTTTTGTTTCACATAGCCTGCCGTGTCTTGGTGCGTGGCTGATCGCAAGTTTCGTGCCAGGCGACCCGTGCGGCTTCCCTGGAACTCGAGCTTAAAGCCAGAGCTAAAACCTACCCATAAATAATTTGCATCTCTGTAATTGACCCTAGCATATTGGCGTAACCAGGGTGCCATTTCATTGAGATCCACGGGGGAAGGGGCCATTGAATTTACCTGCCTTGACGGCTGGTTTTCTGTTAGGCAAAAGGCTGATTGGGCTTGTATGGGGTCGGTTGGACCCCATTCCCTCGAAAGCAGGTCTTAGAGCTATGGGAATGTTTGCCACACTTACCGCATTTGTGAGTGTACTTACAGTTGACCCTGCTACAGACAAATTTATTGAAATCCCAGCATACCTGACTGGCGATGTCCCCCTGTACGCGTGTCATTGCGCCCCGTCCGCCTGATTCTGGTTGTAGTACCGGCTGTGTTACCATGTACTTTAGCCACAACTCCCCGTCGATGTTGTCCCAGCGTCGTGAGGGGTCCCTTGACATTCTGTGTCGGAATTGTTGGTCGTAGGTTGACCAGGCATCCCCCCCCGAATCGAAGTGCCGCCGTTCTTATGGTTTCCATGTAGGACAGCAACCCCTGGGTTGTGCGGACCTCGGAGTGCCTACTAACATATATACACATGAAACTGTGGAAAGCTGAAGTCCAGCTTGCCAGGGACAGGCGCTTTGGTTGCTGCTTTATTGGTTTAAAAATTACCTTACCTGAGGAGTCGTACGCCATGGAAATCTTACCGTCCTCGTGACTTCCCTCGGTGTTTGGTAGGATTGTGCCGAGGTCGACATACTCGCCACGCCAGATTTTTTCCCTCACCGTTTGTTTGACGTGCGCGTCTATTCCGTCCGCACGGAAGGAAAGGGAATCCCCGTATCCTGCGATGTGATTGGCTGGCCAAGCCGCGTCACCGTCGGCCTCGTTGTAAGCATCGGGGATTCTCCCTATGTTGGGCGAAATGGCGGGAGAACTAAAACCAAGCCTTACCTGTTGGTTTGCGCTAACCGGGCCGGGCGCTGAATGTTCCAGCAACTGGAGTATTTTTTCCAGTTGCTCGTTTACCTGGGTAGCCGAGTTGGCAGCCTGCGCGGCATTTACAAGCTGCGCCGATTGTACGTTAATTCTGTTGCCACCTTCGATATTTCCGTAATTGGCAGACTCACCATCAGCTGTTGCCTCCTGTACAATGTGTACTCCCGGGGTTTGTCTTCTGGTTGTCCTGGCCTGCTTGGCTCCCCTCACAAGCTTGTGGTTGACGGCTGCTCTTCTCTTGGGAGGCATCACGAAAGGTCGAGGTGGTGAGTTGGTATTCCACAAGCGTAAAATTGTCCCGAGGGTGAAGTTCGAGAGTAGAACGGAATAAATGCGATACGGCGAGTGCTGGAATAGGTGGTATTCAAAGCATAATCGGCGAAACGGTCGCGATTGTGTAAATGCGATACGGCGAGTGTTGGAATAGATGGTATTCAAAGCGTAATCGGCGAAACGGTCGCGACTGGGTACCAAGGAAACGTACAAAGCGAAAGCGATTAGATACAGTGACACGTGTGTACTTGGGGAAGGGCTGTTCGCGAATGATGGACTAACAAAGGGCGGGATGATGCTTGCGCGGGATTATTCCCCGGGCACGGTGCCGAGTGGTGGCCCGGGGTGATTGAGTTACGGGGGGTGATTGGGTTACAGACGTAATTAGCCCATGGTTTGGATACGCGCGATAAAGTCATTTAGTAGTTAGTACTAAATGTAATTAAAGTACATCACATCACCCAATTTGGGGAAATCAATTGATGCTTGTAGTTAGATTAGAGACGCCAAACTCTTTTTCAAAGTTCTGAACAATTTCTTCCGTTGTTGGCATTTGTCACGTGGCGTTCTTGTTCATAAGGTTTTAAGCAAAGGTATGAAAACGTAATCTATTGGTACTTTAAGCAAACTTGTCTGGGGACAATGACTAATTCATGCAGTGAAAGTTGTTTTAGTAAGTAAGTCATTTTACCGTGTGTAAATAAACCGGAAATAACATATGATATACCTAATAACTCTACAATCCAAACATGTCTCTGTGAACATGGTTAAGCATGCATCATATCAGTGAGCATTCCACATTCTTCATCTCCTACCAAATTTCTTGCCCTAGGACATGATAAGCACTGACGCAAATCGCCTTTTCTATGCACCAGTTCCACGGATAGCTAACCAACTGGTTACAACCTCTAGATTTGTGTCGAGTTACAAACCCATTGTGTCGAGTTATCAGTATACATCTTCCCAAGGCAAGAAAGTTAACTGACTATAAACGTCCAGTTTCCACCCTTGCCGAACTAGGCTGGTATTATGGAGTTACATTTTGGCTGGACTAACGAGTCAATGCATAGTCCAATCAAAATCGCGCATCGAAATCGAAATCCGGTTCGTAAACTGTCGTGCAGATTTCGATCGATTGCAGGATTTGCAAAGCATGTGCACCGCCAACTCGTTGTCAGCAGATATTTTCCAAATCTTTTCATGTTTGTAATCAAGGTGCTTACGTTATTTGCTGCATTTCCCGATGTAAGACAAGTTTTATCACAATATAGATCTTGATTATCGATCAGATCGTCCTGACTGGGCGCCACCATTTGTGTGAAGCAAACGCAAGTGATACGAGAGATGGATTCTGATTGGTCCATAGGAGAGGCTTAGAAGGGACATAACTGGTAAAAGCCACTGGTGGCGCTACGATCGAACCAAGTAATTCCAGCCTTGTTCGGCAAGGGTGGAAACCGGACTTTTAAAGTCGCGGGAAGATGTCAGTATAAAGCTTGATATGGAATTTGTCTTCATCGCAACATAGAGCTTTGCTAGTTCATGAGTGAGTGAGTGAGTATGGTTTTACGCCGCTTTTAGCAATATTCCAGCAATATCACGGCGGGGGACACCAGAAATGGGCTTCACACATTGTACCCATGTCGGGAATCGAACCCGGGTCTTCGGCGTGACGAGCGAACGCTTTAACCACTAGGCTAGCTCATTTGTGTGTCTGCTGTGCTTGACAAGATCCCGTCTACCACGTATCCCAGCGTTAGACAATGCTTATTAGGTGTGTGCGCACTTGGAAATAAACAGTAAGAAAAAAACGAGATTAGCCGAAATCTAGAGTGACTTGTTTTCTCCTTAAATGCAGTAACTTTACATAAATGTCCATCACAGCCTAATAATGAAGCATCAGAATAGATTGTCAAGTCTGGTTCAGAAAAGGCAATATGCTTGCTGGAATCAGAAACATTCTGTATCCACCATCCAATTCATCTTTATTGTCTTCAGTTGCATCGAAGTTGACTCTGGCAAATATTAATGCATCTACTCTAATGATTTTCTAGCATTCTGTCATTGTCGGGGACCTAAGAGAACTGCTAAAGCTTTACACCCAGCTGCACTGTCATCCTGACAAAATCCAAAACAAACACCAAGAATACAATCGTTTGTGGTGGACTTAAGCTTGATTTATTAACATGTATGATAAAACCCATATCTTGTAACTGATAGGCACTATTCAGACAACTCTCACATGTATGTATGAATTATCTAGATATAACAATAATGATAAGTGAAAGCACCTACTATCCATCAAAGTTGCTCATTTGCGTTGTTACATATAATACACTGATTTGAAGTTTTAAGTACCTTTACTCAAATTAACTCAATGTCAAGCTGAAACTGAGACTGGCGGAAATGTAAATAAATTGGACTACAAGTATACTACATATTTAATATTTATTTTAGTAAGTAGGAAATAGTAATTTGATAGATATTTAGTATATATCTCCCCTTTCTGCCGGCAGCCAATATCACAAGAATGTTTCTTGAAAACATACCGTGTCCCCGCCCTAGGAAAACATATTATATGCTACAACATAACATAATAAAGCATGTAAATAAAGCATATATACTACTACTGCATAATTAATTCTTATCGTTATTAAAAATACAGGTGCCGTTTTCGCCCGACAATTAGTAGCCGTTTTCGGCAAATGAGGTGCCGTTTTCGCCCGAGAAATCGGTGCCGTTTTTAGCCTGCACCCTGTGCCTTCTATGTCCCTTCTATTGACCAATCAGATTCCATCTCTCATAAACTTGCATTTACTTCAACAAAATGGCGGCGCCCAGTCAAGACGATCTGACCGATAATCAAAATCTATATTGTAACTAAACAAGTCTTACTTCGCGAAGAAGTCTTACTTCAAATCACCTTGATTATAAACATGAAAAGATTCGAAAAATATCTGTTGACGCCGAGTTGGCGGTACACATGCTTTGCAAATTCTGCAAATCTGCGCGTCAGTTTACGAACCGGATGTCGATTTCGTTACGCGGTTTTGATTGGACTGTGCATTGACTCGTTAGTCAAGCCAAAATATAACTCCATAATTCCTGCCTAGTTCGGCAAGGGTGAAAACTGGACTGTCATGGTCAGTTTACTCCCTTGCCTCGGGAAGATGATGTTTGAAATTTGTTTGCTCATAGTCATTGCTGAGTCAAAGAACACTTTTAGATGTCAGGCACTGATTGTGTGAGGCGGCAGTTTCTAGAACTCCGTCGTTGAGCTCAAGGTACAGTTTACAGTCTAGGGTCTCCTGAATACAAAATTGAAGCTGTTCAATATTCTCAGAAAAATTTAAAGGTGAAATAGGAACATCAGGCTGATTTTCATCAGCATCGAGGTGAAATGTGACAAAGTATTTCATGATGATGTCTCTAGTTGGGAAAATACAAACTGTAAAAAGATGACCGAGAACAGATCCGTGTGGTACTTCAAATGAAAGGTTCAGGTCTTCATAGCATCCGTCGTCAATCTTTACAGACTAAGATTCAATCCCTCTGAGTGCGTTTCATGTGATGCCGAGCCAGTGTTCAAGCCTGCGTAACAGGCTGGAATGGTGTATGGTATCGAAAGCCGTCGAGTAGAACCAGTAGAGTTACTTGCTGTTACTTGCTGTTACTTGCTGTTGGTCTGTAGTGTCAAAATGGCGTTTGTGAACCTCTGTCAGGGCAGTCTCATTGCTATGCCCAAACTTGTAGATAATTTGTAGAGGTTCTGACAGACTGTTTCTGCTTATTGATCTTTAATGTGGAAAGTGAAAAAACACTTCTTCAGGAACTTTTATATATTGGAAAGGTTTGATACCGGATGGAAGTTGTTTTCTTTCATTGGCACATGTAACTGCTTTCTTTAGACGACTATTAACGAGAGCATGTTTAAACTGTTTCAGGACTTGTTATTCCTGAAGAGGTGAGTTGATAATGTCTAAAAGGGAAGGTATCAGTTGTTCAGCAACGGATTTTAGCAGCCTTGCTAACCCACTGGGTAATCTAATATACTCATAAAGAGAATAATTCCTCTATTATATCATTGCCATAATCCTGTATCACACTATAAAGATATATTAAATTGTCAACAGAAGTCCTTTTCACTGTCAGCTGACCCTGATTAGTATTGTGGAAAATAGTTTTCCTCCTCCAGTGCTTTTGCGCATGCGCAGATCTCACTTCTTTCCTGTGAGTACTAGGGTCAACATCTCCTACATTCTCTGAGTATGCCGCCAGAACGACCTTTCATCCGACCAGTCAGAGCGTCGCTTACCACATTGGGAAAGTGACAGTCGTAATGTGTTTCCTAATCATGCAACATTGAAAGGGCTAACGCAGGGTATTCCGAATGACAGTTACAGCCTATATACTGATTCTGTCAAAATTCCTTGTCTCCCCGTTGCTTCAATAGGATAAACACTTAAAAGGAATGGCAAGTATAGCCCGTGGGAAATATTGACATACAATGTCGGCCATTTATTCGATATTCCAGAATGTCCTTTTGTTCAGTTTTCAAATTTTGAATCGAGAACTTTGTCAAAATATTTCCAAAGCGTAGTCTGGTATGGAAGAACTACTAATACCGTAGAGCTCGAGAAAGCTGCTCTCTGATGTCGATTTCTTATTAGTCACTTCATTGGTCGGACAAAGTTGGCGAAAGGGCAAGATCGTTCTCAGGTGACCTGTAATGTGATGTCCTCAGATCTTTGTTTAGGTGTTGCGAGAACTAAGAGCTGATTTTTTGTATGACTATGTCTTTTTCATCCTTTAAACCCCCAACGATTTCCTATGTTTTTGTGTCAGGGATGAAATCGCGAATGTTTTCGTTGTCTGATCGACTAGGTCGTCGCCTATGGTAGCCGCCATCTTTGTGAAGCTATTCGAGATAAGAACAGCGATCTGATTGGATATCCCATTTCCATTACAAGGGGTACAACTCGTGATCTACGCGACGTGACGCCAGGGCCGAGCCAAGAAAAGTGGCCTTGATGTGGCAAGGGTAGAAACTGGGCTTTGATATTGGCTTGTAGACACGCTTGCCTGACAGACCGATAGCGACATGGGAATCATCACTCTGGTATCTTGGAAAATGCAACTCAGACAAGGAGTAGAGTTTGGGAGTTTATTTCACCTTATTATATGGTGTTGTAGAACCGTATATGTATCAATGCAACCACTATTCAACCAATCCCCAATCATAACTCAACATTGTTTCAAAACTGATATCTCATTTTGATTCAAAATCAACATTTCAACATTCAAATCCAACCAAAAATCAATGTCATTTGAACGTTGAAGCGTGACATTGATTCAACATTGTTTTGCCTGCAAGGTATGCACTTTGTCGTAGAAATGGAATATCTCAAAAAGAAATATCGTTAGTACACCGAAATTACTGATGGAATCAGTTTGAAAAAAAGTCTTCAGTCTATGGTGGACGTTATAAATCTCTAGTGAGTGTTCACTCGAATTACAGTTTGTTCAAAAGATTTGATCACATTCAACTTGTACGGCAAATCAAGGCTTATTGATGCATCCACACTAACTATTGGAGACTAGCTAACTGTTACTTGAACCCAAATCCGACACATTTGACGGCAGCCACAGTCTGCATATTCGCGCTCAAGACGTTTTGTCATGGTACTTTTAAGGGCTACAGATCAGCCTGATCTTGCCTGATTTTAACATGATGGATTTCCTGTAGGAAATCACCCTGTGCTTTTTAACGGACTGATGAAAGCCTTTTATACTAGAAAATATAATTGTCTTTATCTTTATTCATAAGGTAGTGGAGGCCATAGGCCTATGCTACAGTTAAGTTACATCATTGCTTGAGAGAGTAACAGCACATACATTGGTACATTGATATACAGTGTTCACCCAAATGACTGTCTTAGTTGCTTTGTTTGTTTGTTAGTTGTTTAACGCCGCACTCAGCAATATTCTAGCTATATGATGGCGGTCTGTAAATAATCAAGTCTGGACCAGACAATCCAGTGATTGGCGTCATGAGCATCGGTCGAGATACGATGACATGCACCAACCAAGTCAGTGAGTCTGGCCACCCGATCCCGTTGGTCGCCTCTTACGACAAACATAGTCGCCTTGTACGGCAAGAATGAGTTTCTGAAGACCTATTCTTTTGTTATATTTATTCCTGCTCTCAATATCAGACTGTAATGAAAAAAATATCTTTTCTTCTGAATACTAGTATGTGTAACAACCGCTAGGTTTCCAGTCTTTAATATCAACATTCTTTGTCAAACCAAGGCTGATCATCTTGAACACCCATAGTCTTCACCTTTCTCTTAGTAAAATCTGCAACTCGACTTAAATCATCTGAAAACATTTTGATTCCTTTATTTACATCTGACAAGGCTAACACATTCATCTAACAAATCAGTTATTTCACCAGAGGGAGAGGTCGGGTAGCCTAGTGGTTAAAGTATTTGCTCGTCACGCCGAAGACCCGGGTTCGACATGTATACAATGTGTGAAGCCCATTTCTGGTGTCCCCCGCCGTGTTGTTGCTGGAATATTGCTAAAAGCGGCGTAAAACCATACTCACTCACTCACTCACTATTTCACCAGAGAATTATCTCCCGGAACTTGCTTGCACAATCGTTGTCCCGACTCGAAGTTGTCATTAGCGAAGTGTGTATCTCGTACAGCATTGAATGAACATATGATTGACAGGTGATGTGAATCTGGCCTAGTTTTGATATTGAAATGTGTACAAAGTGTAAACAAGTCACTTGTTCCTATTATATAATCAATAACACTTGCTCCTGCACTCGAAATAAAAGTGAAGTCACGCACTTTGTTTATCGGCACAACAGCGGCCATTACAAATATTAAGATTAAAAGATGAACATAAATCCATCAACTTCTTGATATATCTGTTGGTAGATCTATCACAGGAAAAACGTTTCATATTCAGGGAATCGCAAATAAAATCACAATAATCTCTATTCAGCATGTTCAGTGCTGACATTATATCCTCGTCTACAAAATCCAAGTCTCTTCCGGTGCGTGCATTGTCTCCTCCAATCAAAACTGAAACACTTCCATATTGCTGTAGCACATCAACTAGGGAGTCTTGTAAAATAGATATTCCACAATGAGTATCTTTATCTTTACCATGATGATTTTTCCGGATTTGTGTCAAGAAAATGTTTATCAAGTAACACAAATACACAATTGGAGCATATTTTAGAAAACTTCACATAATGCATAATTTATTTTCTAACAAAGAGGGAAATACCGCCTGAGAGTGTGCCGTGTGTCGTAGTTCTAACAGCATCAATACAAATATACATAGTCACTAAAAACCACAGAGAGATCAAAGTTTCTGGTCCTTGTTTCATCAAGTCCTACAACGTCAAATAATCCGTTTACATTCCAGAATAAGAATGAATGTTCATTCTGGTTGTCACTGTGATCTGGCGGGCCCTGGCCAAACCCCTATCTCCTGTTCTGTTTGCTCCTTGGACGCAGTCTTGGCCTGTTATCCTGATTAACCCCTTCCGTGCTAGACTGAGTTACATCTGTGACTGGGGCTGGGGTATAAGACTCACTGACAGTAGCTGGAAGTCTGTCTGTCACAAATGTCGCAGAGGCTTATGCAGGGTAATGGAGACACAAAAGCATGCTGTTTTTACAACTGGATTTATTCCGATGATGGTCCACAATCAGTGGTTATGATGATGATGAAGAAACCCTAAAACACAATATTTACAAAATGTAGGCAAACATCATAACCAATAGATCATTAAAAGAATACTGCCATTATATATCTATTACATGTGTTTGATATACCAATCAATAAGATATAATGTGAACGCTTACTTTACATTTAGTGCGGTAAAGCAGGTTATGGCGGATATCTCCTCAGTGAGGATGATATCACTGAATACACTACAAAGCAATTAAATAATACTATATTAAGCAATATAACATTACAATAGTATAGACAATTATGCCATGACATGTTGACATAAATATACGTATAACTAAGGGAAGTAATCCTCACCTCGTCTAAGGGACGGAGGCCAAACCACCAGATGTCATCAAAACTGGTCATGCAGTATCTTACGTGACCTGATAAATGATATATAACTACATGAATCTTACTGGTATGATAAACATCACATGCATTGTATACATGGCATGTGAAACTCATCTAGCAGTATAACAATCAACATTTTTAGGCATTTCATATGTATGATAAAATCAACAATTATAATGTTTTGATATTTTACACTTTCGTGATAAAATAGTACCAATACATGCTTAAATCTAGTACACTCATTTTGCATATACCTCAATGGTAACATCTTACAATATTTAAATATATATTGCACTAACATGAATATACTGATAATTCATGTTTATAACATATACATAATATACTGTTCTTATGGAACATAAATGACTTAATATGAGTGTACTAAAATACATTATATATACTAGAAACCTAAGTACAATGATAATAAATATATTTAACTCACCCCAAACTGAACTGTCCTTTACCAGTGAGAGTTGTGACTAGAAATGGTGCACATAGTAAAGGTATGAAGTACATGACCAAGGTGGTCATGTGACGCAGGAAATACAAAGCCAGGCCAAGCTGACCGGCAGAGAACAATAAGCTAGGCTGAGACCGCAGTAGCCTTAGCACAAAGAATCAATCACCACATGTTAGATTATGTTACTGAGGTGTGAGTTAGTGGACTAAGTAAACTAATTTATTTAATAAATACAATAAAATACCTATGTTTTGGATAAGTTTATACTAAACTACTTTTAAAATAATCCCAAATATATACATCCTGCCACATACTCCCCCCTATTGTGGAATGGCGTCCCGGCATTTCCTGAAACAAACACAAATACAGATATCAGGTTATATACAAGTTCATAATCAGAGGTGTAGAATTCTAAGAATTAGTGACCAGTGAGAGTATGGCTCTATAGGCATCGGCGGGGAGGTCCTTCAATGTTCCATTTTCTGCTAGCGATCTTAGGTAGTTGGCTCTTCTCTCCCAATCTGCTGGTGGTACCACTGTTTGTGCCAAAGCATACTCACCACTGGTGATCCAAGCTGGTTGACGCCTTTCTCTTCCAGATCGTCTTGGTGGCGTCGAAGGAGAAGGTGCTGTCTCCTCATTGGTTGGCAGGCTTTCTTCAGAGTGAATTTCTCCCTCTGTTGGAACATCTCCTTCCTTTGGTAATGTCTCCTCTTCGTCCACAGGTTGCACCTGAGGCTCTGTCTCACCTGGCTGTGTCACATCCTCCTCCCTCCCCTGAATCGCGGCATCAGGTAAACTCGCTGTAGAGTGGTCCTGATCCAAGACTGTTTCAGTGGAGTCATCTTCAGCAATCTCAGCACTGTTCCCTTCAACAGCGATGACTGAAGTCTTCGGGACTGACTCAGCAGGTGCAACTTCTGTCACTAGTAGAGTTACATCTACTTCACCATCGACACTGTCGCAATCAGTTGAGTTTGGCTCTTCTGTGCTGACAACTGTCTGGTACTTCTTTTCTTCCTGTTCCTGCCTTCTCTTCCTTGGCGCTGGTGTTGGTCATTGTTGAGATGATGGTAACAAGGAGCCGATGGGCAACAAGAGATTCCGGTGTAAGGTCCTCTTCTTCCCATCACCATTCTCCTTCTGGACGACATAGACGGGTATCTCAGGATTCGGTTGACTTTCCACAATGTAAGTGTCCTCTTCCCATCTGTCAGCAATCTTATGCTTACCATCAAAAGCAACAACCTTGACTAGAACTCTGTCCCCTTGATGTACTGTAGCACCCCTGATCTTGAGATCATAGTTCTTCTTCTGCTGTTGTCTTGCCTTCTCTGATGCTGTGGCTGCTGTCTGGTAGGAGTCCGAAAGTCTCTTCCTTAGACAGTGCACATAATCAGTGAGAGATTTCCTTTCTTCTGGCCTGTCTATCCCAAAGGCGAGATCAACTGGCAGTCTAGGCTGTCTACCAAACATCAAAAAGAAAGGGCTCTCTCCTGTGGAGTCATGTTGAGTGCTGTTATAGGCATGGACAAGGCTTGCTACATGGGATTTCCAGTCTTCTTCGTTGGCTCCAATGTTCCTAACATGTCAAGCAGAGTACGATTAAATCGCTCGCACATGCCATTTCCTTGGGGGGGATACGGTGTTGTCCTCGATTTGTCAATTCCAGCCACTTGACACAGTTCCTTCACTAGTCGACTCTCAAAGTTGGCACCTTGATCAGAATGTATCCTTTGAGGAAAACCGTAGTGTACGAAGAAACTGTTAAAAAGGACTTCTGCGGTCGTACGGGCAGTCATGTTCCTTGTAGGGAATGCTTGTGCATAACGAGTGAAATGGTCCGTAAGTACCAAGATGTTCTGGTATCCACCTTTTGATGTTTCCAAGGCATTAGTTGGGATCTTTCTCCTGATGCATCTCTCACAGCTCTTGATCCATAGATCGACATCACGTGACATCCCTGGCCAGTAAAATCGATCTTTACACAGGGATAAGGTACGTTCCCGTCCAAGGTGGCCAACATCATCATGTAGTCCTCTTAGAGCCTTGTTCCTAAACGCAACTGGTAGTACAAGTTGCCTCTTCTCCTCGCCATTGATGTTGGTACATCTATAAAGCACTCCATGGTGTAGTTGTAAGTGGTCTACCTCCCGGCGAAGATTTACTGGGACATCTGGTCTCCTCCTGTTATGAAGATTTGCAATAATAGGACCTAGTTCAGGATCTCTGCGCTGAGCCTTGTGCCAATCTCGTGTAGATAGACTTGAAAGTTCACTGCCATTTTCATCTTCATCAATAACTTCTGCACTGAAACAGAGACTCTCCACGTAGTTCCTTGGTTGCAAACTTCCACAAATGGCTTGTACTTCATCTGTTGCAATGTCTCTGTCTTCAGTCTTTGGCAGTCTGGATAAGGCATCAGCATCTGTGTTCCCTTTGCCTGGCTTATACTTTATGTTGAAGTCAAAGGAAGCTAGGGCTGCTAACCAGCGATGTCCAGTGGCGTCCAGCTTTGCAGATGTTAGGACATAAGTAAGAGGATTGTTGTCGGTGTAGACAGTAAAGTTGTGTCCGTACAGGTGGTCATAGAACTTCTCTGTCACTGCCCATTTCAGTGCTAGAAACTCTAACTTATGCGCTGGATAATTCTTCTCTGCCTTGTTGAGTCCTCGGCTGGCATAAGCTATCACTCGCTTTGTTCCTTCTTGCTCCTGGTACAGCACTGCTCCTAATCCAAAAGAACTTGCATCAGTGTGTAGCTCAAAGGGCTTGCAATAATCCGGATACCCAAGGATTGGAGGTGATGTAAGGGCATCCTTCAGCTTCTGGAATGCAGCTTGCTGACCAGTTCCCCAATGCCAAGGTAATCTTGCTCCCGGCTTCTTTCCTTTCGGTCCTTTCTTCTTCACTGTTGGAGGTAGGAGATCACTAAGTGGTCGGGCTATGTTGGAAAAGCTCTTCACAAATTTCCGGTAATAGCCAGCAAAGCCAAGAAACCGGCGAACTTCTTCAGGGTTGCGTGGAGTAGGCCAGTTCACAATCTTTTCAGTTTTAGCAGGATCTGTCTGGATCCCCTCAGCTGAAACAATGTGACCAACGAACTTCACCCTCTCCTTGAAGAATTCGCATTTCTTGGGGTTCAGCTTGATTCCACTCTCCCGTAGTCTCTGTAGGATCTTCTCTAGTCTGACTAGGTGGTCCTCAAAGGTGTTGGAGAAGACGATGAGATCATCCAAGTAGATCATACAAAGTTCGAGGTGCAGATCTCCAAGCATGTCTTCCATTTGTCTCTGGTAAGTAGCAGGTGCGTTCACAAGTCCAAATGGGAGTCTATTATATTCATAGAACCCAAATGGTCCAACCGTGAAAGCTGTTCTGGCCTTGTGCTCCTCAGCAACATCAATTTGGTGATATCCTGACTTCATGTCCATGACAGAGTAGAATTTGCTCCCTGCTAACTTATCAAAAATCTCATCGATCCGGGGTAGAGCGTAACTGTCTTTAACGGTCCGATTATTAAGAAATCTGAAGTCCACGCACATCCTCAGGGAATTGTCTTTTTTGCGAGCAAGCACGATGTTAGAAGCCCAAGGGCTGTGTAAGCATCGAATAATTCCACAAGCTAACAGTTGCTTGAGATGATCCTTGACCTCAGGAAACATGGCTGGTGGTATCCTCCTATGTCTCTGTTTGAATGGTACCTCATCTGTTAGCTCGATCCTGTGCTGTACAGTTGTAGAATGACCAATGTCCATATCCCCAGTAGAGAACACATCACTGTATATCTTTAACAGCTCCTCACATAACTTCTGTTGATCTTCAGTTATTGTTGGAGATATATCCACCTTGTCCAAAGGATGTTCCATGTCCTCCTTCACCATCTTCTCAAGGTCAATTGTTGATACCCCCTCAGTCTGAACTGGTTGAATCTCACACACCAAAGCTCTTGGGGGAATGACTACAGTTTGAGATGACAAGTTAGATACCTGGACCGGGATGTACTTATTTTTGTAGTTGAATCTGAAAATAGCAGGGGCTATCTCCAATCCAGGTGGCACAGCGGCATTTGTTGTTTGCTGTATCATCACACAGGTATCTCGGTAGGGGAGTTCCTTGTCAATGTAGCCTCGGATGGTGGTTGTAGTGTTAGGAGGGACAATGATCTTGGTACGCTCATTACACTTCTTTAGAGCCTTGTCATGAAGCAAAATACTCCTAAAAGCTAAATACCAGGAAGTATGTAGCTCAGCTGTCTGAAGGAAGTTGGTCCCACTCCTTGTCTTGCAGTCTTCCATAAGCGGATAAAGGAAATTTGTTCCTAACAAGACTGGTACAGTAGAATTATAGGCACTATCAGGTACAACTAAACACAAACACATGCTTGGTTCCTTCAATGCCTCCATTCCACAAGTACCTACTTCTACAACAATATAACCACTATACGGAAGAGATTTACCATCAGCACACTCTATATGAATAAAGTCCTTCAGGAGCTTGATCTCTGTTCCTGAAAGATGTTCCTTGTGGAATGACTCAGAAACAGTAGAAACAGTGGATCCAGTATCAAGCAGAGCCTTGCATGATATTCCACTGATTGTAACTGATGTTTCACTTGCTGATCCAATGAGTCCAGGAGGTAGCTGAGGACGAACTTCAGTGGGGCTCTGTCTATATGAACCTAACGTCTGCCCCTTGACATAGGTCCTCTCCGGTTTAAATATCCTCGTCTGTGGTCTGTCCTGATCAAACAACCAATCTGGAGGTGTCCAGGTTGTCCACAGTTGTAACAGCAACGCTCCTCCCTGCGCTGTGGTCTATGAGGTAAGTGTTCCACTTCCCCTTGAGGTGCAAAGTCCAGGCCTTGCATGGCTCCTGATATCCTTGGTGGTGCTGGAGGAAGTCGGTGCTCCAAGTTATCCATTTTAGCTGAAAGCTTGAAAAGAATCCCCTTCAGCTCTGATATCTCGGAGTTCTCGGCTGTAGGTGTAGCAATGGCTTGCTTAGCTGGAGCTGCTGACGAGGTCTTCTGTGGTTGAGTTTTGAACTCCTTCATCCTCACTTCTCGTCCATACTCTATTCGACGGATCTCTACCCTGAGACGGTCAAAGTCTGTGATGGTATCGAACTTGTGGCCGCTAATGTCCTTCAGTTCTTGACGTAGACCCATCCAGAACACATTACGGAGCATCTGGTCAGCATCCATGTCCTTCAAGAAACCTTGACTCTTGACATCATACAAGAGGTCTTCAAGTCTACATCCCCATGTAGTCACATCTTCAGAAGGACCCTGTCTTGCACTGTAGAACTGGGCTAGGAGGGTCTCTCCTACCTCGCTAGGCTTGAAGATACTCTTGAGTTTCTCAAATATTCGGGAAATGGAAGCTGAAGGTCCAAGTCGCATCATTACTCTGCATTACCACGAAGAGAACGATGTATAGCCTGGATGACATCTTCTCTAGGGTGAGTCTCATCTTGTAACAAACGCTCAACCTCATACTGCCATATATCAAAAGAAGCTTCCCCCTTGGCTGCAGGATCACCTGAAAAAGAGGACAACCTTGGTGTCTGTCTGACACTTAGGCTCTTAAAACTCTGCAGTGGTTCTGTTGGGTTATGTCTGAACGAGGCATATGGTACTTCTTCTGTCTTCACTTGAGTTGGGACAGTCGAATGGCTCTCCATCCACTGTTTGAGTTCAACACCAGATCTTACATCTAGGTCAACTCCCAGCTTCTGAAGAGAAGCCATGACTGTCTCAAACTCCTCCTCGGATAGATCAGCCATGCTGATAATACATAGACTGCAAGGTAATAAACTGAATACTGAAATGAAGAATGTACCTGCAACCTGGAAATAACAAAGTGAGCAATATATGACGTGTCCCCTCAAAAGGTGAGTGGGGCACACAACCAAACAGAAAGAAATGAGTGTAAGCTGTGATTAACCTGAAAATAAGTGGGGAAAACAAAAGTATAAACAATAAAGAGGACTCAGTGTACTAAGCAGGTAAAGCGAAGCACAAACGCTGCAGGCCACGCAAAACAGTATGCAAC